GCCCCACCCATCTCACCCCATCCTTGAGACAGACGTCCCAAGCATAGACCCTCAGAGCTCCCCAGCCCGTGGCGGACCCTCAGCCCCACCACCCCATCCGCCCCAGCAAGAGCTCCACAACTCACAGACCTCCAAGTGGGGGGCGCGCGGAGAAACTGGACGGGGAGCGCGGGTCTGGCACACCTCCCAGGCCGGGGCGTCCAAGGCTCCCTGCGCGCCTCGGACGCTGCTCTTTATACACCCGGAGCTGCCCGCGGGTGGGACGGGGGAGGCGGCCCACGGGGTGCGGTGGGGGAGGGTCTCGCTCCGCTCCCTCCGCAGCGCCCCCTGCAGGGCCCGAGGCGTGCGGCTTTGGCCCCGGCCCAGAGCGCTGTCTGTCCCCTGGGTGCTCCCGGACCCCGGAACAGCGGCGGTCTCTGGGGCTCCGAGTCCCTAGAGAACGGGGTGCTGGAGAAGTTCGCCCCGGAGTCGCACCCCAGGCTGCAACCTCCGGCTCCCCGCGCTGGGGGGACGCTGGCGCACCTCCCTCCCGGGGCCTGCAGGGAAGAGTCGGGAAAGGGGATTTTCTGAACTTGGCCAAGTGCGAGGCCGGGCAGGGTGCGCACCGGGGCAGCGCCTGCCCTTCCCGACTTGCGGTCCGGCCGCCGCGACCTCGGCCCCACGCGAGACCTTGGCCGAGTCACTCTCCTTCCCGAGCCGCGGGGTCCGCACTGCTAAACAGAGGAGGGGGCGGGGATAACGCGGTCGCGTGCCAGGCGGGTCGTCCGGACCCCAGGACAGCGCGGGCGGGTCCCGCTGCCCGAGGGGGCGCTGCGGGCCTGGGGGACGCGGCCTCCCCCGCGCGCCTCCCTGGGCCCCGTGGGCGCCCCCGGGGGGTTCTCACTGCCTCGGTCACCATCGCGGCCCCTCGCTCTCCCGCTCGTGCCTCGGTCTCTGCGTCCCAGGGTCGTTCAGAAAGTTCACGGCCAGAAGGAATTAAAAGCTGACTTTATTTTGATGGGGGAAAGAGAACATTGAGATCCATGCACACTTTTTCATAACATGCGTTTCCCATATGAACTTTTTGCAAGACCCCTCGGAGGCATGGATGTCAGGGGTTTTTTGCACCAAAATCATCCTTTCGCCAGGCTTCCCACGTCGGGTTTGGAAGGGTCCTCGGAAGACCCTCTGCACGGCGCTGTCGCTGTCTCTGGCCTCGGTCCCCGACTTCTCCCGGTCTCTCCCCTTGCGCTGTCCCACGCAAGCATACACAGGCCATAAAAGGAAGTCCAGGCTGGGGGCTGGCCCCTGGCCAGGCCGGGGACCCCGCTCCCCGCGCGGGCCGGCTCCGAGGTTCCCGGGCCGGTCCTCCCTCCCGGGGCGCGGCGGGCGCGGGGCGCGGGGCGGGAGACAGCCCAAAAAGGGCAGGCGCGGGCTCCTTCCTGCAGGAATTCCCAGCGCCGCATACCAGCCCGGGGCTGCCCGCTCCCGCTGACTAAATATGGTGCCTCGCGGCCTCTCGGCTCGGCCGGTGCGGGGGAGGGCACCCTGCACCCCGCGCGGGCCCGAACGGGGGACCCCCTGCGCTTGGGGCACCCCCCAGTCCCACGCGCTTCCCGGCCGCTTCGGGCCAGAGCGTTTGGGGGAGTGGGTTCAGGGAGCTGGGAAGACCCTGGCCTGGCTCTGGACGCGGCTTACGGCTTACGTAGGTCCTTATTCCACAACTCCGCCCCCTGCAACCACGTGTGCGTGGGGTGTCTTATATTAATACCCCCAGGCGGCAGGTGGGAAGACTGAGTCCCTACAGGGGATCCCGGGGCCTGTGGGGGGTGGGTGCTGGGGCCTTCTGACACCCTGGCTCACTTCCAGAGGGGAGCCCTGAAAGAGAAAGGGCCAGGCCAAAGCCAGGGCTCTGGGGTGAGATGGCTGAGTGTGGATCTGCAGGGGCCTCTTGCAGCTGTTAGACCAAGGGCAAGTACCTCCGATTGTGTGTGCCCCGGTTTCCCGGCCTGTGAAAAGGCAAGGGCAATGGCTACTTCCTGGCTTTCGGGAAGCAGTCCTCCTGTCAAACACTGCCCATTTCATGTTAGCCAGCAAACCTGAGAGCCCAGCCTGGGAGGATGGAGAGCCTGCTGGGCTTAGTGTTGCCTGCAGGCTCCCAGGCCGGCCGGCTGCACAACTCCGCCCCGCACACCCTCCCGGTCCCTTCTCCATCCCTCCCACACCAAGCTCAGCCTGGAGAACAGCCCAGCTCCTTCAGTCAAGCACGGGCGCACCGAGCTGGCTGGGGAAGAGGGGCAAGGCTCTGCAAGATGATGGATGAGCTGCTTCCCCACATGCCTTTTCGCATCGACACTGTAAAAGGAGTGGAAACTGTCCCTGCCTCCGCACAGAGCTGATGTGGAGCAGAGAAGTAGGTAGAGGATAAACTGGCGCTGATCATCGTCTTCCCGCCCTGGAAGCTAATCCAGAGCAGTGCTGGAATCCCACCCCCGGGCCGGGAAGCAAGGATCCCAAGGGGCTGCAGTGGCTTCTCCAGGATCTTGTTGGTAACTTTCCAAGGAGAATGCTTGTATTAGTGGAGACTTTGTAACGGTTTTCCCATGTTACTGTTGAAAATCCAGGGTCAATCATCTAGCCCAGGTAGGCAGATAATGTGGTGGTGCAGCAGGAACGCCACCCCCAATGCCTCCCACCTGCCCGACAGAGTTGAGTATGAGTCTGAGGGTCTTTAACCTGCAACCCTGCCAACAACCAGCCAAGCAGTTCCGATGCCGAACCTTCAAAACTGCAGATTAACTCAGAGGCCTCGGTTTCATTTCTCATGGCTCAAAAGGTCGGTTATTTTGAGAAAAATGGTGTTTAAAAAATGTCACTTTGAGCGAGTGCTGTCGGACCATTCTCCTCAGCATGTCTTTTCTGAGGAGCTGTTGACGGGAGTTTCCAGGAACTTGTGAAACAAGATGGCAGAGGGGAAATTTCTCTCTTGGGGTCTTTTATTTTCCTGAATCAAAGAGCTTTTTATTTTCTACTGGGTTAAAAAAGCCCCAACATGTGATCCCCTCCAGTTTTAAGTAACACCAAAGATTGGGGCCAGCTGTGTTTCCTTCTGTGCGTGTCAGGTGGACGTGGCCCAAGATCTGCCTTCCTGTGAGTGTGGCACAGCCCCTCTCCCGCGCGAGAGCACTTCTGCTTTACCCTGGTGGCCCCCATGCGTCTCCAGGCACGACACTGCACTGCAGACACCAGCCACGCTCTTGCCCTCACCACCAATCTCCACCTCCGGTGTTACAGGACGGCAATTCTCCACCTCTATCAGAGAATGTCCTGAAATCCCGAATTAAAGTAGCTTTAGGGTTTACAAAACCACCAAATGTGCTTACGATCCAGCAAATGACACTTCTTAGACTCTATATCCACACCCACACCCAAAAAGCTGCACACAGATGTTAAGTTTTATTCATAACTGGCCAGACTTAGAAGCAATCAGGATGTCCTTCGGTGAGTGGATAAGTAACAGTAGGATAATATTCAGCACTGAAAGAAATGAGCTATCAAGTCGTGAAAGGAGACAGAGGAACTAAGTGAAAGAAGGCAGTCTGAAAAAGCCACATACTGAATATTCCAGCTACCGAACATTCTGGAACAGGTGAAGCAGGTGGAGAGCACATTTGCCATACATGTGTCTAAAACACAGGAGTGCATGTGGGTGATAATGCTGTGGCTCGGTGTAGGTTCAGCCACTGTCACCCTCGTACTGCGCTGGTACAGGATGCTGGTGGTGGGAGAGGCCGTACCTGTGGGGGGCAGGGGGAGATGGGAGCTCCCTAAACTTTCCACTCAACTCAGCCATGAGTCTAAAACTGCTCAAAAAAATAAATAAATAAAGTCTATTTTTAAAAAGGGAGTTTTGTCTCACTTTCATTAAACAAAAATTCATGAAGACCACACAGTCCTTGCATAACAGTTGTTGTTAGAAAAATAAAATACCAATGGCTGGGAAGCAAGTGCCCTCAATGCCTTTAAAGGCACATTCTCACTCGTGGCAATCCTTCATGCACACTTGGCTTTAGGCTGGGGTGAGGAGCACACCAAGTTGACATAATCATACAGGCATGTGGGTCATACACAGATGTGTCCTTGCACATAATTATAAAGCCATTAGTTCATGCTATGCAACCATATAGATACACTTGTCACCCGCAGAGGCCACCTCGGCTCTGGCCAGTTCTTAGACTACCCACGTTTTTGAAACTCACCTTCCCTAAATCCCTCTGCAGGTTCAACGCTGCTCCTATTTTTCCATTAGTCCAGGTTTTCTGCTAGAAGTGCTCCAGCGTTTCTGGAAGGTACCTTCTCCCAGTCATGCCGACAGCAGCCACCGGGGACTCCTGTACCCTTACTTCCTTCTCCTTCCACACCTTTCTTTATTCTTCTTTTCGTCCTTTGAGTTTTTAAACTGCCTCAGCTCATGCACCTTTTAAGATTACTGGACTGTAAACTAATTGGCATTGTTCATTCAAAAATTTCAAGTTTAGGTACTTCTAGAGCAGATTTTCTCAGTTTGTAGGAACACAAAGTTCTCCTTTTTGGATAGTCGTAAAAATCTCATACTGTCTTAAAAACATATTTTCATTTCCACATATAATACTAAATACATTTTCAAACCAAGCATGGCCCCTCAGGCTACACTACCGCCTCCCAGAGACCGACACCATTCCTCCACGCTACCCTAAGCAGTCACTGTTCAAAGGTGACATGGCTGCTGTCAGAGGCACAAGAGGCTACTTCAAAAAGCTCAGAAAATGGAGGTGAAAGAGAATGCTGGTCCCCAGGAGCTTTTTGAAGAGCCCTCACACATCAGGACAAATCCCCCTCCCTCAACCCTTAATCGCTGCCTTCTAACAACCAAGTCTCGGAGGATCCCGCGAGAGGGTCCGCAGACCAGCCCGTCTCCCTTCTGCCTCTGGCACCTGGCTTCTGATGACATGGCAAAGAAACAGACACCCTCTGTGCAAAGGTGAGTGGATTCTTTTTTATTATTATTAAATGGTACATTAAAAGTATAAAAATTGTCTAGGTACAAATTACAGAATAATGCACACAAAAGCACTATGTGACAATCCACTTCACTTCCATTTGATGACTTTATGTCAGCATCCAAAATGATAAACTCCAGCATTTTTTCTGAATCTCATCCCACATGATTGTAATTCCTGAGGTAAACTTAGTGTCCACTGCCAATATCCTTGGATGTAAACCAAGTTCTCTGGAAGCATTCAGATATTTATATTCCCACATAAAACACAATGGAATTCATCACTGTAATCAGATATTACAGACTTAAAAATGGAAACTGGCCTTACAATACTTTGGCATCTATCTAGATATATTTATATGATTTTAAGCCCCACAACAGGGCCTCTCAAAACCTGTGACTTGTGAAGTTTGGTAATAAAGGGGTTGCATTAATCAGTTTATGCATTTAGATAAAAATTCCTGGTTAACTTTTAGTGAGTGAAAGCTACATCACTAAATACAAAATCAAAAGTTTCAATAATTTTCAAAGCACAGGATCAATATCCTACAGAGAACGCCAATTTTGCCCACTACACTTAGTGGAAAACATTTAAGCTAACTGGTGTCAGTGTACAGGTACGCAGGCCAAGTTCTATTCTGAAGACACCACATCGAAGGACCATTTTAGGGAATGCATCCTAACAGCTACTGTTTTTCTACCCTCAGAATCAAAACTGATGTTTAAAAGACTTTCAGGTCCCAGTGTGCATGGGCTGGTCCTTTTCCGACTCATCCATGTGCACAACTGACAGCCCCACGGAGGTGAACCAGGCCCACCTTTTAGAAGTCACTATGCTACTTCTTCCAAAGCCTGCCTCTTCAAGTATATTTCACAGTCTTTATATAATAAAATAAGCTCTTTGTTTTACTTACAGCAAAATTAAAAATTATTTCATCCCTCTACCTTTTAATTAAACCTTCCAGTGCAAGCCAAATGGAAGGAGAAAAGTACATTGTTCTCTAGTTGAAAATTTCAACCTTAGATAGTAATTCAGACATTTAAGCCTATTTATAAATGGTTATATGAAAATAGCTACTTTTAAAAAAATCAAACTATAGAAATTATAGGGTTTCTTTTTCTGGTTTTAAGTCATTTAAAATTTTTAAAACATGAATGAATTTTCTTACAAATTTTGCAGCTGACAGAAGTTTAATTAATGTGCCACGTCAAACAGCAGAGCCTACTTGTATGGAAACACAGACCTGTGTGTGTGTTTGGAAGAATGTACAAGGTACCGAAAAGCCCTTTCATGTCTCATCAACCTGAAGGCCTTTAAAATACTCCCTAAAACCCACATGTTTTCTTTCAAGTCGACTCCAGTAAGCTAGATGACAGAATTAGCTTTTATTCACCAACGAAGGAAAACGTGAGGGGCAATGTGTTTTGTAGAAACTCAATTTCTACAACACTGGCAACACCAGGATAATAAATAAGTTACTGACTAGAATAATTTTAGGACAAAAGATACCCCGAAGGCCATGTCATCTCTTCACTGCTGGAGAGACACGAAGATCTTCAGCGTCGGCACTCTTCCCTCTCTCCTTTCTTAGGCAATCATCTGAAATGAACAGAAATCCACACCTATGTGAGGATGCAGTATGAGGGTGCTTCAGAAAGTTCATGGAAAAATGGAACTATGTAAGTTTATTTTGTTACAAAAATTTTTGAAATTTGTGCCTAGTTTTTGCATAAGGCACATGTTGGTACAGAAACAATTTTGAAATCCATCTATAGTTTGCGATTTTAAGTTTTATATATTTTATTTGAAAGAGAGAGAGAGAGGGAAAGACAGAGAGAGAGATCTTCCATCCACTGGTTCACTCCCCTAATGGTCACAACAGCTGGAGCTGGGTTGATCTGAAGCCACAAGCCAAGAGCTTCTTCCAGGATTCCCATGTGGGTGCAGGGGCCCAAGGATTTGTGCTGTCCTCTGCTGTTTTCCCAGGCCTGTTAGCAGGGAGCTGGATCAGAAGTAGAGCGGCCAGAACTCAAACAGGAGCCAGGTGGGATGCTGGCACCACAAGCAGCAGTTTTACCCGCTACACCACAGCGCCGGCCCTTCCCCCCATCTATAGTTTTTTGATAATACTCCTGAACTATCTGAAGACCTCTGGTATATTCCATGGATTCTTTACAAAATATATACAAAATATTCACTATTTTGTAGTACTACTGAAGTAATCAGAAATGCTTAGTAATAAAGGCCCTAGTTATTTAAAAAGATCTCTCATATGTAGAAATTCTGATTTGGAAAAAAAGACAGAACTTTAGAAAGATTCTTTAAAAATTTATCTATTTGAGAGAGATCTTTATTTCATCTTTCACTGACTTCTCCAATGCCTGCAATGTCCCAAGGCTGGATTGTGAGAAGCTGGGCGCTTGGTCTGGCTGACAGAGCTCTCAGGGTCTGCGTTAGCAGAAGCTGGAGTCAGGAGCAAGAACTGGGTACAAACCCAGGTACTGCAATGGGGGATGCAAGCATACTAACTGCTAGGCCAAATGCCCATCCCCTTGATTTTCTTTTTAAATTTATTTTAATTTATTTGAAAGAGAGAGAGAGAGATCAACCTTATATCCCCTGGCTCATTCCCTAAATGCTTACAATAGCCAGAGCCGGGCCAGGCAAAAGCCAGGAGCCTAGAACTCCATCCAGGTCTCCCACATGAGTAGTAGGGACCCAAGTACCTGAGCCATCACCTGTTGACTCCCGGGCTGTACATGAACTGAATAGGACTCAGAGCAGACACTTGAACCCAGACACTCAGATATGGGATGTGCACACCTCTAGCAACATCTTAACCACTGCACCAAACACTTGAACTAGCCCTTGGCCTTATTTTTCAGTGATTAGATTAGAATCCATGTATAAGGGGCTACAGAATTCTCTCTCTTTTATTTAAGAAATGGAATTAGCAAGAAAGGACAAGGTGTCAGTCTTTTCAAGGATGCCAAAACTCTTCAATTTAAAACACTCTTCAAATGAAAACATCTCCTGGCAGCACCCCCTTAAGACAAGCAGAAAACTCGGCACTCACATGCTCCCTCCAAAATGTCAACTATCAGAAACTGTAGAACACTTTTTTTTTTTTTTTTGACAGAGCTAGACAGAGAGAGAGAGAAAGGTCTTCCTTCTGTTGGTTCACTCCCCAAATGGCCGCCACGGCTGGAGCTACGCTGATCTGAAGCCAGAAGCCAGGTACTTCCTCCTGGTCTCCCATGCGGGTGCAGGGCCCAAGCACTTGGGCCATCCTCCACTGCCTTCCTGGGCCACAGCAGAGAGCTAGACTGGAAGAGGGGCAACCAGGACTAGAACCCGGCACCCATATGGGATGCCGGCGCCGCAGGGGATTAGCCAAGTAAGCCATGGTGCCGGCCCCAGAAACTGTAGAACACATTCTTAAAAGCCAAAACTAAACAACAAAGTTGTTTAGAGCACTCAGAAGTACCCAGGGCCCTGTGGCCACTCTGCACTTTAGCAGTAGCAAAGACGGTGGTTTCCTCTCAACTTTTGTCATGGGGGTGAAATGGTAGAGGACAGAAGCGCTCTAGATTAAAAACTGAAGGGATTCAGTATTTAAAAGCAATGACAATGTAGGGGCCGGTGCTGTGGCGTAGTAGGCTAAGCCTACGCCTGTGGCGCTGGCGCCAGTTCAAGTTCCGGCTGTTCCTCTTCTGATCCAGCTCTCTGCTATGGCCTGGGAAACCAGAAGAAGATGACCCAACTACTTGGGCCCCTGTACCCGCAAGGGAGACCCGGAGGAAGCTCCTGGCTCTTGGCTTTGGATAGACCCAACTCCTGCTGTTGCAGAGTGAACCAGCAGATGGAAGACCTTTCTGTCCCTCCCTCCCTCTCTCTGTAACTCTCTCAAATGAATAAATAAAATCTTAAAAAAAAAAAAAAAAAACAAGGACAATGTCATGTAAAAACTAGATTTCTGAGAATATGTGGGCCTCCAATCCCCTAAGCAATTCTACAACTGACAAAACAAACCTTTCTTGTGGCATTTTGAGAACTGGAGAAAAATACAAATTTAGGCCAGCGCCGCGGCTCAATAGGCTAATCCTCTACCTTGCGGCGCCGGCACACCGGGTTCTAGTCCCGGTTGGGGTGCCGGATTCTGTCCCGGTTACCCCTCTTCCAGGCCAGCTCTCTGCTATGGCCAGGGAGTGCAATGGAGGATGGCCCAAGTGCTTGGGCCCTGCACCCCATGGGAGACCAGGAGAAGCACCTGGCTCCTGCCTTCGGATCAGCACAGTGCGCCGGCCACAGTGCACCGGCCATGGCGGCCATTGGAGGGCGAACCAACGGCAAAGGAAGACCTTTCTCTCTCTCTCTCTATCTCTCTCTCTGTCCACTCTGCCTGTCAAAAAAAAAAAAAAAAAAAAAAAAAAAAAAAAAAATTTAGACAAGCTGTTAGAAAAAGGCAATATTAGCACCAGAACAGATAAAAGATTTTCAAAGCCCCTCCCTTTTAAATATTTATTTATTTAAAAGACAGTGTGAAAGATCTTCCATCCCCAAATGGCTACAACAGCTAGGGCTGAGCCAGGCTGAAGCCAGGAGCCAAGAACTCCATTAGGGACTCCCACATGAATAGCAGGGATTTGGACCACCATCTGCTGCCTCCTCTGGAGCACATGAGCAGAGAGGTGAATAGGAAGTAGAATAGCCCAAAAGGGCCCAAGCACTTGGGCCATCTTCTGCTGCTTTTCCAGGCCATAGTAGAGAGCTGGATCGGAAGTGGAGCAGCTGGGACTTGAACCGGAGCCCATATGGGATGCCAGCACTGCAGGTGGAGGCTTTACCCGCTATGCACTGGCCCCACCAGCCCCCTAACTCTTAAGATGGTGAGATGTCCACACAGTTTTGTTAGTCCTCAGAAGATGATGAACCTCACTGTGAATTCCACTTTACAGGTCTAGATAACAGATGAAAATCTCACCCTCATTTTAGGCAACTTTGCCAGACGGAACAAAGTTAACAATTTCTAAGACATCACAATATTAGGTTTTCTAGAAAAGTCCCATAAAAAATGAAGTCTGTTACTTTTGTACATGAGACAAATGTGTAAAACAGTTGAACTGGTAACGGTTTTCTCTATTATGAAATCTTGAATTTTGGGGGCAGGCACTATGGTGCGGTAGGTTAAACGGCCACTTGTAACGCCCTCAGCCCACCTCAGAGTGCCTGCTGAAAGTCCCAGCTATTCTGCTTCTGACCCAGCTTCCTGCTAATATGAGAGTGGAAGACAGCTCAAGGACTTAGGTCCCTGTCTCCCATGTCGGGAGACCAAGATGGAGTTCCAGGTACAGGCATTTGAGAAGTAAATCAGCAGAAGGCAGATCTCTCTCTTTCTCACTCTCTCTGTCACACTGCTTCTAAAATAAATAAATTAAAAATAAACCTCAATTTTTATTTAACAAAAAATTACTTAGAAGTATTAATAGCCAGCAGCACTACGAAGGATTATCTCAAAGGTAAGTATGCCTTATAAACCCCCTTCATTTTTTTTCAGTGCTTTGAACATTTTGATGAGAAATGCTTTCATCTTTGGACTTATTTTCAAGTAGATGTGAATTCAGTTTCAATGTTTTAAATTTCAGCTGGATGAGCTTTGATAAGGGCTGTGATCTGAAGAATAATTATTTTAACAGCTTCATAACCTTTTTAGTGCTGTCAAATAAGAGTTATGTAACCTTCAGATGGTAGGCTGGAGTTAAGAAAGCAAATGGAATTGTTTAAGTGTGTTACTGAAAGATGATGCAATTTTTGGCTAACAATTCTTCTCAAGTCTTTGTCCAAAGAAGTTACTATTGTGCCAAGAAAATTTCTGCTGATCAAGAAAATAACATGCAAAGTCATTGTCGGCCTCCCCTGAGCTCCGGGGTGATCCTCATTTCCGAGCTTTCCACAGAACAGGCCCCCAAAGTGCTCTGCTGCTTCTGCCGCTCTCCATATAAAGATGTCTCTCAGCTGCCCGAGCTCCGCCAGTCACTGTCCTGCTTAAAAAGAGATCCAGCCCTACCAGCTGGAAACTCTGAGCTAAACAAAACCCATTCAAGTCAAATTAGCAAACTGAGGTCTTATTGCTGATGCAATCAGAACTGAAAGCTCATCTGAAAAGTGAGCATTCAAAAAGAAATATGGGCGATTCTCCTAAGACTCTGTTATTTACAAATAATTATCATTCCACCATGAAAAATATGGCGAGGGGCATGGGAGTTTAAATCACCATAGGTAATACTGGCCTCCCATGTCAGAGGACTAGTTTGAGCACAGCTGCTCTGCTTCCAATCCAGCTCTATGCTAATGCACCTGGGAAAGCAGCAGAAGATGGCCTACATGCTTGGACCCCTTGCCACCCACGTGGGAGACCTGCATGGAGTTCCTGGCTCTGGCTTCAGCCTGGCCCCGCCCCAGCTACTGTGGCTACTTGGGGAGTGAACCAGCAGATGGAAGACCCCTTTCTCCTTCTGTTACTTCTTCTTACTCTTTCTAGTTAATTTTTAAGAAGTATTCTGAAAATGTAATGGACATATACACTGAAACTTCTTTATCTGGATTCAGCAATCTTAACTTTTATTTTTCAGTCTTGAAGAGGAAAAAATAATCACTTGATAACAAGCTTTCTATTCAGTACATTAAGAACCTAAGCTTGGCCGGCGCCGGGGCTCAATAAGCTAATCCTCCACCTTGCGGCACTGGCACACCAGGTTCTAGTCCCGGTTGCCCCTCTTTCAGGCCAGCTCTCTGCTGTGGCCCGGGAGTGCAGTGGAGGATGGCCCAAGTGCTTGGGCCCTGCACCCCATGGGAGACCAGGAGAAGTACCTGGCTCCTGCCTTCGGATCAGTGCAGCGCGCCGGCCACGGCAGCCATTGGAGGGTGAACCAACGGCAAAGGGAGACCTTTCTCTCTGTCTCTCTCTCTCTCTCTCTCTCACTGTCCACTCTGCCTGTTAAAAAAAAGAAAAGAAAAAAGGACCTAAGCTGCTCCAAAGATTCTAAGTGTACGTGGACATCAGGCTTTACAACATTCTTGTATAGACATTACAGCTAAGGATCTGACCCAGGCACTCCTATCTCCCTCTCCCCTCGAGATTTCCTTTCCATGAGGCATTTTGTTTTTTGGAAGTTAAATAATACAAGTTTAGATACAAGCAGAAATAAACTATGATTCAACAGATCAGGAAAAACTCCACCAAAGGAAAAAATATATGGGAAGAAAATACACTTGCTAGAAAACGCATACCTACTGGCTTCCTTCCACTTGGCTGTCTGCCAATATTTGGGTTTGGAGGCTGAAGCGAAGACTCTTTCAGAAATGCATTTTGGATGCCATCCTTAGCTCCATGCAAGAAATGGGCTAAAATTCCATATAAAAGAGGTCTGTAGCAGGAAAGACACATTAGATTAAATCTGCATACATAATAGAAATTTAACACACTTTTTCTTTAAAAGGTAACCTTCTAACCCCAATGGACAAGCTTTTAACTAGATTTAAAAACTTGAATGGGGGCAAGCATTTGGCACAGTCGTTAAGATCCTGCTTAGACACCTGCATCCATATTGGAGTTCCTAATTCGCGTCCTGGCTCCACTTCTGATCCAGCTTCTTGCTAATGAGTACCCTTGGAGGCAGCAGGTAATGTCTCAAGTAGTTGGGTCCTTCCTACCCATCTGAGAGACCCTACTAGCTTTAGCCTGACCCAACCCTGGCTATTTGTGGGCATTTGGGGAATGAATCAGTGGATGGGAGGTGTCTGTCCTGACTTCCAAATAAATTTAAACAAAACTTTTGAGTTGCATTATTATTGAAATTGCACCTGTTCATACTCTTTTAAGAGTACCATGTAACTCGAATGGCAATTCAAAGATTTTATTTATCTATGAGGTAGAGTTATAGACAAAGAGAAGGAGAGACAGAAAGGTCTTCCATCCACTGGTTCACTCTCCAAATGGCCGCAATGGCCGGAGCTGGGCCGATCCAAAGCCAGGAGCCAGGAGCTTCTTCCAGGTCTCCCACATGGCCATCTTCCACTGCTCTCCTAGGCCATTGCAGAGAGCTGGAACGGAAGAGGAGGAGCCAGGACTCGAATCAGCACCCATATGGGATGCCAACTCCGCAGGTGGAGGCTTAGCCCATTGTGCCACAGTGCTAGCCACTTGAATGACAATTTTAAACCCAGAGAAAACATATTAACAAGTTAAATCTCTTCTAAAGGAAAACACAATTTTAATCAAGCCACAGTATTTAGCATTTAAATCCCAAAGTTCAGTATAACCCAGTACCTGACAGTGACACACAACAGGCACTGAATAAATGTCTGTTAAATGAATAGATCCTCATCCAAAGAAGGTCTTATGTCCTGAGCACCAAGCTGCTGGGTTTGTCCCTTACGCAAGATTCTTAACCTAGCCAGCCTCATACTCCTTCCTCTCTGCATGAGAAGCATGGGCCCTACCTCACAGGCTTAGTATGCACTAAATGAGTTCCTCAATGCCAGTGTTTAGAACTGCGCCAGGCACATATTAATGGCATATAAATGCAAGCTACACGGGAGCTGGACAATATTTTAAAGCTATCTCAAAGTTTACAAAACACTGTTATCTCTCTTCATTTTATGCTCATTTTGTGATGTCATAATCATTAGCTCATCAACTCCAGTTTATAAACAAGAAAACAAGTGGTAACTACAGAGATTAGGTCCAAATGGCCTCCTGCCCATGGGGAAAGTCAGATGTGTGAGATGCTCCAGCAAGCCCACAGAGAGGAACCAGGGGCAAGGAATCGAGGTTTCCTGCCAACAGCCCTGGCAATGAGCCCTCTGCAAACACATCCACCACAGCAGGGAGCCAGGGAGCAGGTGCTCGGGCCGTCCTCTGCTGCCTTCCCAGTCACCACCGCAGGGAGCTGGACCATCCATCAGAGCAGGGAGCCAGGGAGCAGGTGCTCGGCCGTCCTCTGCTGCCTTCCCAGTCACCACTGCAGGGAGCTGCATCAGAAGTGGAGCAGCCTGCACTTGAACTGGTGCTCATACGGGATGTAGGCATCACAGGAGGTGGTTTATCCTGCTGCAGCCACAATTCTGTCCCCGTCCAACTCATGTTAAGCCACCCTTAAGACTCTTCCAAATTATTTTTTCCTGTGTGAGAACAACTATCATTTTCAGACTTTTTAAAAATTGTCAACATGTATATTTTTTAAAGTGTTACCCACTCTTTTGTCTAACACTCATTCAAATGTAGTTACTTGCATCACCACTTCTGGGCCTTTGGCTACGATCAAGTGTAGTAACTACTTGCATCCATGAACACTAGCTCCACAGAATGTGAAAAACTATGCCAAGAAAGAAAAAAAGATTCCTTAGTCAAGTGAGTTTGGAGAGCCTGAGTTAGATAAGCAGGATTCTCTTTACTGCAGGATTTCTTGGAGCAATTACTGTATTAGCATGCAAGATGGATCTCTAAGGGGACGTGTGCAGCGCCTTTCCCAGCAGAAAGCCTTGTGCGGTGAGAACACAGGACAAGCATTGCAAACTCTGTAGTCAGTAATGTGCACTGCTGCATCCCCAGGCCAACATCAGTGCCGGGCACATAGCACGTCAGCAGATATTTTAAATGACCAATGTCTCCGACAATAGCAGGACACTAAAAACAAACTAAATGTCCATCGATAAGAGATTGTATAAATCAGTTATGATACAGGGAGCACTACTTTGTGTTTAAAACACAAAGGAAAACATGGTCGTGACAGAGAAGGATGGGGACAGGACAGGTGGTCTTCAAAGATACCCCTAACATTTTATGTAGTTAAACAACTCTGAGACAGAAAATAACATTCCAAATCTGAACGGCAGGAACACAGATGTCCATTAGGTCACTCTTTTTCTCTGTGTGCCTGAAGTAACTCATAACTTTAAAAACAAGAAAAATGAAGATGGGTGTAAGCTGCTATGAAAAACAAGTTACAGGAGTACAATTCCTTCTACATGTAGAAGAAAATATATACAGAGGTTTAAACAGATAGTGTTATGTTTGAATAAATGCAAGAGACAGTTGCCAGTGGTTATCTTTTGCTCCTTTAAAACTTGTTTATTTGAAAGGCAGAGTGACAGAGAGAAACAGATCTCCCATCTGCTTGTTCACTTCCCAAATGCCTGCAATACTAGGGCTAAGCCTGGCCAGATTCCACCTGGGTCTCCCACATGGGTGGCAGCAATCCAAGCGCTTGGGCTTCCGAAGTGCACTGGCAGGAAGCTAGAATGGCAACCGAATAGCTGGGACTCAAACCTGCACTCCAACACGGGATACGGTCATCCCAAGCGGTGACTTAACTGTTCAGCCACACCCAGCCCACCAGTGGCCATCTGTGGGTAGTAAGACTGCATCTCAGTGGGCAGGGTGGGAAACAGTAAGTTTTTCTCTCCAATGAATACTCTTCCATGCTATCTCCACTTTTTACAATGTGTAATTGTCATTTTCACTACAAGTAAAACAAATTCTAACTACCCTACTCAAACGAGCTTTATCCTAACCATTCCTGCTACTGCTTTCTCTTGTCCATGGTCTTTCAAGTCAGTGCTTAATCACAAGGCATGTGGACAAGCAGTCAGCTTGTTACACTCACCCATGTCTCAGGTTTACAAAACCTTTTGAGAGCACTTAGCTAGATGGCGCCTATATGCTCAATAAATACTAAAACTAAATGCTATTTTTTTAACAGTTTTATTTACTTGAAAGGCAGAGCATGAGAGAGAGAGAGAGAGAGAGAGCAAGAGCGAGAGCCTCCATCTGCTGGCTCATTCCCCCAAATGATTCCAACCATAGGGCCAGGCCATACTGCAACCAGGAGCCCGGAATTCCATCTAAGAAGATGGCCTAAGTCTTTGGGCCCCTGCATCCATGTGTGAGAGCCAGAGGAAGCTCCTGTCTCCCTGCTTAAGCCCGGCCCAGCCCTGGTTGTTGCAGCTATCTGGAGAGTTGAAAGATCTCTCTTTCTCTCTCTCTCTGTAACTCTGCCTTTAAAATAAATAAATATTAAAAAAAAAAAAAAACTGTAAGAATAAATGAAATACACATGTAATAAAAGTACAAATTAAATCATCCAAAAACTTGCAAGGGAGAAAGAAGCAAAAATGACACAGAGAGGAGTCGGCGCTGTGGCTCAGCGGGTAAAGCCACCACCTGAAGTGCCAGCATCCCATATGGGCACTGGTTAGAGTCCCGGCTGCTTCTCTTCTGATCCAGCTCCCTGCTGTGGCCTGGGAAAGCAGTGGAGGATGGTCCAAGTCCTTGGGCCCCTGCACCCGCATGGGAGACCCAGAAGAAGCTCCTGGCTCCTGGCTTCGGATCAGCACAGCTCCGGTTGTCATGGCCAATTGGGGAGTGAACCATAAGATGGAAGACCTCTCTCTCTCTCTCTCTCTGCCTCTCCTCTCTCTGTGTAACTCTGACTTTCAAATAAATAAATTAATTTTAAAAAAGACACAAAGAGTTAAAATCTGCACAGAGCCAATAAAGATAGAAGATGCTCAATGAGAATTTAGAGGGAGAAGAGGTGATCCAGGGCTTCTAGGCTGAGGAAACGGTTTGTACAAAGGCAAAAAAGCATCAAGTTGGAGGTGTCTGCAGGACACCATGATTCATCAGGTGTGAGGAAATGCACCTAGAAACAGGGCAAACAGGGACCCAAACTGCTGTGCTGAGGATATGGATTTCATCTACACACAGTGCAGTTACTAAATGATTTAGGCCAGCAATAGCTGCCTTCTAGACAGCTGGCAGTATGAAACACGAGCTGGAAAGCAAAGTGAGCGGCAATGAAGAAACTAGTCTGGGGACAGGTGCTGTGGCGCAACAGGTTGGGCCGAGCCTTGTGATGCCCACGTCCCATATGCAGGTTGAGTCCTGGCTGCTCCACTTCTGATTCAGCTCCCTGCTAATGTGCCTGGGAAGCAGGTATGATTGCAAAAATACATGAGTTCCTGCCACTCATGTGGGAGACCCAGATGGAGTTGCAGCCTCCTGGCTTTGGCCTGGCCCAGTCCCAGCTATTGCATCCATTTGAGGAGATGGAAGGAAAAACTCTGTCTTTCCCTCAATCTTTCACTCTGCCTTTCAAATAAGTAAGTAAATCTTAATAAATAAAAGCAAGAAGAGGACTTTAAAAAAATAAAGGAACTCAGAGGGAGACAATGAAGAAACTTCGAGCACTGCTAAGGAAGGGAAAGCCAAGACAGCAAAGGGTCCCAGGAAACAAGGAACACAAAGGCTTTTAAGGAGCAGGCGCGGCACCACAGGTTAAGCCACCACAGGGAATGCACACATCCCACACGGGAATATTCAGTTAGGGTCCTGGCTACTCCGTGCTTCTGATTCAGCTTTCTGCTAAAGCACTTGGGAGGCAAGGAATGATGGCCAGTACTTGGGTTTCTGTTACCCATGTGGGAGGCCTGGATGAAGTTCCTGGCACCTGGCTCTTGCCTGTTCTTTTTTTTTTTTAAAGAGTTATCTATCTACCTACCTACCTACCTATTTATTTACTTATTTAAAAGACAGAGTTAAAGAGAGGCAGAGGCAGAGAAAGAGAGAAAGAGAAGTCTCCCATCTGCTGGTTCACTCCCCAGATGGCCGCAATGGCCAGAGCTGCGCCGATCAGGAGCCAGAGCTTCTTCCAGGTCTCCCACGTGGGTGTAGGGGCCCAAGGACTTTGGCCATCTTCTACTGCTTTCCCAGACCATAGCAGAGAGCTGGATCAGAAGTGGAGCAGCTGGGACTCAAAGCGGCGCTGATATGAGATGTCCGCACTGCAGGCGGCAGCTTTACCTGCTACACAACAGCGCCAGCCCCGTCTGGCCTGTTCTAACCCTGGCTATTGCAGAATTTGGGGAATGAATCAGCAGATAGAAGATCTCGCTCTTTCTACCTCTCCCCCTCTCACACTCTGCCTTTTAATAAATAAGTAAATCTTGAAAAAAAAAAAAAAGTTTGAAGAGTAGTCAATATATAAAACGCTGCAGACACTCTAGTAAAATTGAGCATCTCAAGTTAGAACCAAGTGTATGCACCCGCATTGGTGCAAAGAGCTTGGCACACAGTACAGGATAAACTTAACAAATGATCCTGGAACATTAATTTTACACTAAGACTTATGGGAGACTTAAACTTCACTGGCATATAATCTGAAACATGATTGTGCTAAACACAGTATATTATGAAGTAGAATGAAAAATTCCACGAACTTTTAGGAAGAGAAAACACAGCCTTCAGAGACATTTCTCATTGGGGGAAGGCTGCTTTGAATTCTGTACTACAGTTGTTTTTGAAATTTAGGGATCCTCCAGAAAAAGCTTTGGAAACACTGATCTACACAAAGAACTAAGAAACTACTAGAAAGTGGTCATTCTCCTTTTCCAAAACATAATTCAGTATAAACAGTGAGGCATGAATTAACACACACAAAGCTTAACACAGAAGGTAACAGAAACAGAAAGCATTGGGGTCAGTGATTAGCACAGGGAACTGGGACACCTGCATTCCACACTGGAGATGCCTGGTTCAAGTCCCAGCTCCTCTGCTTCCAATCCAGCTTCCTGCTAATTCATGTCCTGGGAGGCAGCACACGATGCTCAAGTACTTGGGTCCCCGCTACCCACATGGAAGACCCGGACAGAGTCCTGGGCTCCCAGCTTTGGCCTGGCCCAACTTCTGCCTGTTGCAGGCATCTGGGGAGTAAACAAGCAGATGGAAGATGTCTTTCAAATAAAATGAAAATACATAAAAATTTAACAACAAGCAGAAAGGAAACAAAAACTGAAAGCAGAGGGTTGGTTCAGTAAGCATGGTGGTGAAAAGGCTATGGAGCAGGGACTAGGCGTTGGGAATTCACAGACAATTTTTTTTGTTTTTGTTTTTTAGTAGAGGGGAAATCTGAATACATTCCCAACTTCAAATGGAGGAAGCAGGAGCAGGAAGAGTTAAATATGAAGAAGAAAACAATCAACAGAGCAAAGCTTCAAAAGAAAAAAAAAAGATCCAAAAGCCAAGAAGAGTAAACCTGAGAAAGAAGGAGAGTCTAACTCCCTGAAGCCCCCGGAATTTCCACTCCAGTGAGCAGAGCTGGCGACCGACTTGCTCACTGCTGCACGTCTGGGATTAGCACCTGCTTGACACACACTAGATCTCAATAAATACCTGCCAAAGTGAAACAGAACCACCTCCATGCAGTTATGACTCCAGTAAAATAATATCTGAGAACCTACTTTAAAAAATTCTTACACTGTGTTATCCTTGGATTCTTCAAATGCGTTTAGTTCACGAATGAGAAATTGTCTGTCCAATGGAACTACAGGTTGGCCAGATTCTGGGGGGAGAAAGTCATGAAAACACTGAGTCTATAATTCTAAAAAGTTGATATGATTTTGATAAGAATCACACTTACCAGGTATACACATTTATCAGACTTGGGATGACAGTACATACCAAGACAGATCCAAGTGCATGTGACTCTGTGACTTCTAAAATACCTGCTTTTTGGGAGCTGGTGCTGAGCATAGTGGGAAAAGCCACCACCTGCAGCTCTGGCATCCCATAAGGGCACCGGTTTGAGTCCTAGCTGCTCCACTTGCAATCTAGCTTCCCGCTAATGCACCTGGAAAAGCAGAAGAGGATAGCCCAAGTGTGCAGCCATGTGGGAGACCCAGAAGAAGCTCCCAGCTCCTGCCTGGCCCAGCCCTGGCTGTTGCGGCCATTTGGGGAGTGAACCAGTGGATGCAAGCTCTCTCTCTCTCTCTCTCTCTCTGCCTCTCTGCCTTTCAAATAAATAAATCTTTTTAAAAGATCTATTTTGTTGGCCAGCGCCATAGCTCAATAAGCTAATCCTCCGCCTGTGGCGCCGGCACACCAGGTTCTAGTCCCAGTCGGGGCGCCGCATTCTGTCCCGATTGCTCCTCTTCCAGTCCAGCTCTCTGCTGTGGCCAGGGAGTGCAGTGGAGGATGGCCCAAGTGCTTGGGCCCTACACCCCATGGGAGACCAGGAGAAGCACCTGGCTCCTGGCTTCAGATCAGTGTGGTGTGCTGGCTGCAGTGGCCATTGGAGGGGTGAACCAACGGAAAAGGAAGACCTTTCTCTCTGTCTCTCTCACTGTCCACTCTGCCTGTCAAAAAAAAAATCTATTTTGTCAAATTTGTGTAATTTAATAGTTTAACAAAGTCACTTTTTAAAGCCCCCAACTTTTGTTTGGAAAATTACTCTTCATGAGGTGGGTGTGTTTCGCCTAGAAGTTAAGACTAACACCCCACATCAGCCTGTGTTTGAAAACCGGATTTGCTCCCAATTCTGGCTTCCTACTAAATGCAGACCTGGGAGGCAGTGGTGATGGTTCAAGTAACTGGGTTCCTTCCACCCACATGAGACATGGATTGAGCTGCAGGTTCCTGGCTTCAGCGCTACCCAGAGGCTCTAAGTGGGCATTTGGGGAGTGAACCAGCAGATGAGAGCTCTTCTGTTTCTCCCTCTATCTCTCTACCTCTCAAATAGATAAATTTTTAAGGTGGAAGTTATCTGTGGGCCTTAAATTGTGACCTACCCCCCCCCAATACTGTTTCTATATCTAAGCTACAATTCTAGAGTTCAGCCTATTTTCTAAGAAGCCCGTGAATTTAACAGAGGACAATATCAATAACTTACTTTTTTTTTAAAGAATCCACTGATGGCAGTAATTCTAAAAGTTGCATTTAACGGGAAGGGCTGGCAAGGACATGGGGCAGCCAAAGCTCTCACACTTTGTTGGTGGAAAAGCAAAATGGTACAGCCATTTGGGGACTACTGAGCAATTTTCCTTTTTTTAAAAAATGTATTTATTTATTTGAAAGTCAGAGTTACACAGAGAGAGAAGGAAAGGCAGAGAGAGAGAGAGACAGAGAGAGAGAAAGGTTTCCATCCGCTGGTTCACTCCCCAATTGGCCGCAATGGCCAGAGCTGCACCAATCTGAAGCCAGGAGCCAGGAGTTTCCTCTAGGTCTCCCATGTGGGTGCAGGGGCCCAAGGACTCGGGTCATCTTCTACTGCTTTCCCAGGCCATAGCAGAGAGCTGGATTGGAAGTGGAACAGCCGGAACTCGAACTGGCACCCACATGGGATGCTGGCACTGCAGGCGGCAGCTTTATCCACTATGCCACAGCGCCGGACCCTGAGCAATTTTCCTATAAAGGTAAGCATACACCGACCCCAGAGCCTGGCAACCGTATTCACAACTGTTCAGGAGAAACTTACATTCACACAAAGGCTTGCTTCATAACTGCCAAAAACTAGCAACAACCCACATGCCTATCAAGTGATAACAAATGTTCACAGTCATATCATGAAGTGCTGTTCCCAGAAACCAACCACCAGCACTCAACGGCCAATGGATTCGGCTAAGGGACAGGAGGCAGGCTCAAGGGTTACATCCTATATGACTCCTTCCAGGACACTCTGGGAAGGGCAAGTTACAGGCACAGACAGCAGCACCTCAGCTGCTGCCAGGGGCTGGAGTACATGAACAAGTTGACTACAAAGGGGCACGAAGAGTCTCTGGAGGTGACGGAAATGTCCTGTATCTGCACTGTGACTGTGGTAGTGGATACACAAGTGAATGGGTTTGACAAAATCTATACAACTGTATACTGAAAAAGGGAAATCACATTACATCTAAATTGTACCTCAGTTTTTTTTTTTAAACAAAAAGCCAAAACATTTAATATGAAACCATTATCACTACATTTTATCCTAGGAAGCCCAAGTCCAAGACACTGAAATTGTCATGATGGTTTTCTTTTCTTCGTGTTAATAGCATTATGTAGCCATCTACAACAAACTGAGGAAAGCAGATACTGACATCAAAGCTCTCTCTTGCTGTCATTCTGCCTTTCAATTAAATAAATAAATAATCTTTCATTTAAAAAATTAATTTATTTGAAAGGCAGAGTTACAGAGAGAGAGAGAGAGAGCGAGAAAGACAGAGAGAGAGCTTTCATCCACTGTTTCACTCCCCAGATGACCACAATGGCCAGCAGCTTCTTCCGGGCCTCCCACGTGGGTGCAGGGGCCTAAGCACTTGGGCATCCTCCACTGCTTTCCCAGGTGCTTTTGCAAGGAGCTAGATGGGAAGTAGAGCAGCTGGGACTGGAACTGGCAGCACTGCTACACCACAACGCCAGCCCCAGTAAATCTTTCTTAAAAAGTATTTAAACCAATACAAACATCGGTCTTTACACAAAAAGTTAAGAGGTACACTTAATATCAAGTGTAGGATCTGCAATGGAAAATTCTAGCTTCACAAATAAAGAACTCACTCCCTTCTAAAACCTAGTTTGTGGTTTCTTTTCTTCAGTGAGGCACATCTCAGAGGCATGAAACCATCTTAAAGCACAGATAAAACTTGACACAAGGAAGTCAAATGATGCACACACAGGTGCTCCTGACCACCCCTGACTGCAGTCCTCCCCCCAGCCGGGCGGGGCCCACAGGCTCGACTACCAGGTGTAGACTCTGCTCACTCTCCTGGGAGAAGACATCCACAAAGTCAGCAGAAGATGTGGAAAACACTCTCACGACCCCAGGTAATAACTGTTAGACTACAGAGTGTGTTTTTTAATATTTTCTTAAGAAATAAAAATTTAACAGATGAATGTCTCTTGAACTACTCACCCCCTTCTCCCAATACCATTGCTCTCCCTCCCATCACTAGGGTGTGCATTTGCAATTTCCCACCTCATGTTTTTTAAACACCAGTTTTCACTGGTATATATATCCTAAGGTATATATCCTTAACCAACACACAGCAATAATTTGATGTTCTTAGCTCCAACATTTTAAATACTTTTTAACAAAGATACGTGTAATCTTTACATGCTTTAAAAGCATATGCATCAGCAAACAGGGTAAGATGTCAACAGGAAATAAAGACGACTTTTTCAAAGCATACACCTGGTTTGGGTGCCTGTTTAAGTATCTACTTCCTGCACAGTGCAGCCTCATGAGAACTCCCAAGAGTCATAATTTCTATGCTCTGGGTGGAGCATAGAAAGGTTTGGTAATGGAATGACATTTCCAGGGTACACACTCCCCGAGGACTGGGCAGGGGAACAAGCAGACGAAGTCCCAGGAATGAACGATGAGCACTCACCTGCCATGAGGACAGACGCTGTGTACTTGTATTTGTTGAATTCCAGATACTCCCGAATTAACTCATTAATGAGAAGGTTTTCATGGGACAACACCGGCCGGGGCTCACTGTCATCATCCAGGGCGTTGAACACCTCAGCTCGGATTCTGGCTTTTAAATGTCCCAATACTCCCCTTTTTTCCAAAGTGTCCCTTAACACTGTCAAATATAAAATAGCAAGGATCCGGTTACAGAACAAATTTTGTCACTGTTAGGCATACCTTGAAGATGTTTAAGAGGTGAGGGGCACAAACCTACACTTCGTGACTGACTGAACAGTGGCATTAAGTACCATAGAGCACGTTTGTAATCAAAAATAAAGGTCACAAGTTTCAGTGATTTACTTTTAACACTGGAGGAAATTCAAGTTCATCCTTACAGCATCTTCACTGTGTGGGACTACAGTATAAAATCTATTATTTAGCGAGGAGAAAGAGGAGAGGATGGAGATACAGTTAACTCGCCGGGACCTGACTTTAAACGCCAGTCTCTCATCCATCTTCAGGAGTGTCTGTCACCACAGACAGGTTCTGTGTGTCATTAACAACCTCTGATCCAGAAAGATGATTAAGGAAAACAGTACACTCCATACAAGAGAGGGATATGTCACCTTCCTGGTATAAAAACCACTGATATCTAGAACCCATTCTGAATAAACAAGTATTTAAAAAAAAAGTCAATCCTGGGTTAACTGCTTAAAATAGTAGGATTTTGAAAGTTTAAGTCTAGACAGTAATCTGCTATGTGCCTGTATGACATCTTAAGGAGTGAGGGGAGTGGATGGTAAATGTAACCCAACTTGATGGACCAAGGTCACCGTAACAAGTGTCAGTTCACGGAAACGGGATTGATCTCAAGAACTCAGTATAGGTAATCAAAGGCTGACCCGGCACCACCCCTCTGGAACCTTCTTTTATCAAGCAGCCCTGATGGCTAAATGACAATTCCACAAACCCACGCATCTCATCCAGAGGGCTGAGAATACATTAAGAGCTCGAGAAATGTTATCTAGGAGCTTTACAATCCAATGTTGTATTCCAGCAGTCAAATGCAGCTTACTACTGCATCAAAGGCACCAAGTAAGCATGCCACAATAAACAGAAAAGTGAAGTAAGATGTGAGAGTGCTTAAAAAACATAAAAGTCCACAAAACATACGATGACTGGTTGGCAAACAAGCCTTCACTGGGTTTCTCTTGGACATAAAGTACATTCAGAACTGGGAAATGCAGGAAAAAAAATAATTATATATACAGAAGTAGCCCTGGGGCCAGCGCTGTGGCGCAGTGGGTAACGCCGCCGCCTGCAGTGCCAGTATTCCACGTGAGTGCCGGTTCGAGTCCTGGCTGCTCCACTTCCCATCCAGCTCTCTGCTATGGCCTAGGAAAGCAGTGGAAGCTGACCCAACTCCTTGGGCCCCTGCACCTACGTGGGAGACCCAGAAGAAGCTCCTGGCTTCTGGCTTCCGATCAGCTCAGCTCTGGCCGTTGCGGTCATTTGGGGAGTGAACCAGCGGAATGGAAGACCTCTCTCTTTCTCTGGCTCTACTTCTCTCTGTAACTCTTTCAAATAAATAAATAAATACATCTTCCCAAAAAAAAAAAATCACCATACCATAAACACCGCCTCGAGAGGCACTCTCAGAGGTCCGCTCACCAGCACGGCGTCCCAAACACACATTTCCACCCGTGGGAAATGAACCAGATTCTCTCCCAGAGGTCCCGCCGCCTCCCCTCCAAGTCCCTGAGAGTAACTGCTTTAGCCCTCGGGTTTTCGGACACCTGGAATGGCTCTAATCCTAACGCAGCAGTACAGCCCCGCGACTGGGACCTGGGGCTCAGACCCAACATACCTGTGCGCCCCCCCAACCCCCCACCCCTGCCTCTAAATTAGTCTGGGCCCGTGAGTTCACCTCTCAGCGCCTCCGTTTCCCAGTCCATGAAACGGGCACAGAGTAGCCACAAGGAACCCATCAGGTAACTCCCGAGCTAGTGGCGCAATCGCTAACACCCCACCTGAGAGGCCGTCGTGAGGACGCAACGAAGATGACCACGGAACCGTGGCGGGCACTGACCATGGTCGTCAGCTCCGAGTGCGAGGCCCGCCCGGGTCCTCGGTCCCCTCCTCCTCCCCTCCGCCAGCCCACGGTGGGGTCTGGAAAGACGCAGGCCTGGAGACCGCCCGGCTACCTGCAGATTCCGGACTCCTGCTCCAACTAGCTTAGAGCGGGTCTGGAAACCAACCCTGGGCAACCACTTCCGGCCCCGAGCCGCCGCATCAGCCAGACGCTCCAAGCAGGCCCCGAGACCGCGCAGAACGAGCCCTCCAGAAACGAGGCCTTCCTTCCCATCCTTTTCATGAGCGGCAAGCCCGTAGATTCCCACCCGGTCACCTCCCCGCTCGCACTCACCGGCCTTGAGCTCGGCGACAGTCGCCATTTTTCAACGGCCGCCGGAAGCGCGCCTTGACAGGGCGCACGCGTATCCCCGCCCCCCTCTGCGGCGTGGCCTGTACCCAATAGGCTCTGTCTACATCCAGACCCGCCCCACTCAGATTCAGCTCTCTCCGTGGTTGGGCGAAAGGCCAACGCTCACGAGAGACTCCACCAATCAGCTGGTGTTCTAGGCGGGCCGTACAGAGGGGGGCGGGAGCAGGAGCAGGAACAGGAGAGACGCAATTCCTAGACGTTACCTGTGGGTGCTGCTAGTTTCTTACGGCTTAACCGGTAGCTGGCTGGTCCTTTCACCGCTGGCCCTCTGTTGAGCTCTGCGGCCTCAGGTTCCCACCGACGATTTCGCCACGTATCAAGCCTGTGGTTGGCAAACTTGAGCAGGAAGACTTTGACAAACAAGCCCTGAAGTTTGATTCCGTGTGGGATGAGACCTGAGAACGCGCATTTCTGTCGAGTTCCCAGGTGCTGCTCAGGTTGCTGGTCCGGAAATCCCATTTCGAGAACCGCTGTGTTAAGCACTTCGGACCTGCCGGCCGGTGGGCCACGTCTGTCACGCTTCTTAGCTCATTCGCCTGTGAGCCCCGTCCTAGACAGGTGGAAACGGCATCTCCCATGATGAAGAGACTAAGCTCACCCAAGCGGCGGCGGTGACACTCGAATCCAGGCTCCTTGCTCTTCCGCTCTCATTTAATACTGGTCACGTAAGGTGCCCACGAGCTGTTTGTACGAACAACTGATGGCGGAGCGAGCCAGTTCTAAGCATCCCAAGGAAATGAAGAAAAAAGGAACATGGGAATACTGTCCCCAAAGCTGGTGTGATGCCAGTTGTGTTGCCAGGAAGGTCAAAAGACTTAACGAAATAAGAGAGAGATTGTCCAACATTCTACAACAGTGCTCTTAAAACTGCTGGTCAACCAATGATAGAAATCTACTTTTCAGTGGAATCTCAATGGGTGCATTTTCCACGCAATGGAATGAAGTGAATAGAAGACATAGAAATACTATTTTTTTGAAATGTCTGTTTCAGGGGTTGGCGCTGTGTGGCAGTGGGTTAAAGCTGCGGCCTCCAGCGCCGGCATCCCATATGGGTGACGGTTCAAGTTCCGGTTGCTCCACTTTTTTTTTTTTTTTTTTAAGATTTTATTTATTTGACAGGCAGAGGGCCTGGGAAAGCAGTGGAAGATGGCCCAAGTCTTTGGGTCCCTGCACCTGCGTGGCAGACTGGGAAGAAGCACCTGGCTCCTGGCTTCAGATCAGCTCAGCTCTGGCCGTTGCAGTCATTTGGGGAGTGAACCAGTGGATGGAAGACCTCCCTCTCACACTCTCTCTAGCTCTACCTCTTTCTGTAACTCTGTCTCTTCCTCTTGCTGTGTAACTCTGCCTTTTAAATAAAATAAATAAATAAATCTTTTAAAAAAGAGAAGGGAAAGCACTGCTGATGTACTGATGTAGAGGCACATGGAGCTAGAGGCATATAATAACGGGATGAGTTAGTACAGAGCTCCTGCTTGTGCGGTAACTAACACCCATCACTGCTCTGTGTGGCAGGTGCCGCTCCAGAAGCGTACAGTAAGTCTTCACCAACAACTTGAGGAGACAGATGCTCACACAGCAGTTGTCTAAAGAAAAATTTCATTTCAAAACTTGTGGTGTGGGCCTTTGACCACAAGTAAAGAGACCCACATCTCCTATCAGAGCGTCTCCACTCTTGACAACAGCTTTTTACCAATGCAAGACCCTAGGAGGCAGCAGGTGATGGCTCAAGACCCTAGGAGGCACCCAGGTGGGATACCAGGATTGAGTTTCTGGCTCCTGGCTCTAGCCTTGGCCTTTGTGGGCATTTGGGGAGTGAACCAGTCCATGGGAGCTCTCTTTGTCTTTTTCTGCCTCTCTGAAAGAAAAAAAAAGGTACTGAAATTGAGTCACTCTGTGTTGGTGAGGACAGGTGTGACCTTACCTACTGGGTAGGTGGACAGATTGGCAGCACCACCCAGAAGGCTGTTTGGCAATACCAAGTCAACCTTTCACACCCTTTGACACACCAACTCGAGTGCTACCAACATATCTCACAGATACACTCGTACCCAATTACAAGGGCGTTTCCAAAAGCTGGTGGAAAATGGAATAACAAGATGAGTTTGGGGAGCAGGTGTTCAGCCTAGTGTTTCTGACACCTGTGTCCCATATCACAGTGCGTAACTTGGTTCCCAGCTCCAGCTGACCACAGCTTCCCTCCAGTGCAGATCCTGGGAGACAGTGGTGACGGCTCAGGTACTTGGGTCCTTGTCACGTGGAAGACTTGGATTGTGTTTGGGGCTCTAGGCTCTGGCGCAGCCCTAGCCCCAGCCCCAGGGCATTTGGGGAGTAGACCTGTAGTTGGGAGCTCTGCCTGTCTCTGTCTCTCTGCCTCTTTAAAAAAAAAGGAGGGGGGGGGATAAATTTATTTTGGTACAAATTTTGAAATCTGTGCATACTTTTTCCATAATAGGCATTTTCTTGAACCTTTTGGAAATATCTGGGCTGTATAAGGCTATTCATTGTATCACCCTTTATAGTAAACTAAAAGCTACACACACCTACCAGAAAGGCTACAAAAACAGCTGGCAAGCATGTGTATGTTGCTGGTTGGAAATCAAAGTGGTATAGCCACTCGGAAAACAGTTTGCCAATGGCTTACTGATAATGGCTTTTCATCTGACCCAGTAATCCCAATCATGGAATTTACTCAAGAGAAACAAAAAGCTATGTCCACACATAAGCCAATACCCAGTAATAGCAGGTTTATTCATAACTGCCCCGTACTAGAAATGACCATGTGTTTTCTAATTGGTAAATGGATCAATAAACTACAACTTATCCCTCCCATGAGTCCCACACAGTGACAAAGAGCAAGTGACCACTGACACATGCCACAAAATGAGTCTTGAATGTTCTTTGCTCAGTGAGAAAAACCAGATCCAAAATGCAATATTTAAATTGTCGTTTCATGTAATTTGGAAGGCAGAGAGACAAACAGAGCTTCCACTCACTAAAAAAACTATTGGAAACATCAATATCATCAGTGGAAGCACTGGGTATGTAAATTACGGTACAACCACCAATCAAATACTACACAGGGCTGGCGCTGTGGCGCAGTGGTTAACGCCCTGGCCTGAAGCGCCAGCATCCCATATGGGCACCGGTTCAAGACCCAGCTGCTTCTCTTCTGATCCAGCTCTCTGCTATGGCCTGGGATAGCAGTAGAAGGTGCCCCAAGTCCTTGGGCTCCTGTCCCGCGTGGGAGACCTGGAAGAAGCTCCTGGCTCCTGGCTTCGGATCAGCACAGCTCTGGCCGTTGTGACCAATTGGGGATTGAACCATCGGATGGAAGACCTGTCTCTCCCTCCCTCCCTCTCCCTCTCTCTCTCTTTCTCTCTCTCTCTCTGCCTTTCCTCTCCATGTGTAACTCTTTCAAATAAAAAAAAAAATACTGTGCAGTCATTCCAAAGAATGGGGAGCTCTAAACACACCCAAACAGACTTCCAAAAGTTAATGGAAAACAGAATTAAGAGATAAATGTATTTTGGTACAATTTTTTAAAATTTATAACCATAATTTTTGAATTTTTTTAATATTTATTAATGGAGGAGAAAGAGAATTAAGTGTGTGAAAGAGCGAGGCTATTTACTTATTTATGTAAAAAGCAGATTAGCAGAGAGAATGTAAGAGACAGAGAGAGAGGTCTTCCACCTGCGGGTTCACTCCCCAGACGGCTGCCACGGCCAGGGCTGGGCTAGGCTGAAGCCAGGAGCAAGGACCTTCTTCCAGTCTCCCACATGGATAGCAGGGACGCAGGCACTTGGGTCATCTCCCGCTGCTTTTCCTGGGCTGTTTGCAGGCAGTTGGATCAGTAGGGGAGCAGCTGGGACTCGACCAAGCACCCATGGGGGATGCAGGCATTGCAGGCGGCAGCTTTACCAGCTGTGTCACAACACTGGCCCCCTGGTTTTTTCATAGTAGGCATTTTCCATGAATCTTTGGAGGATCCCTTGTATGTGTGGGTTTCAATAACTCTGCCCCTAAATAAACTCATTTTTTGATTCCATTTTTTATGAACTTTGGTATACAAACAAAAATTGCCCCTGGGGAGGAGGACCAGCTGACTAAAAGTCAGTGGTCATAAGACATTTTCTTTTGTCCACAGACTGTTGGTTTGCTTTAAATTTTTCATTAAGCATATGTATCAGTGTGTGCAGCCATCCGTGTACAAACGGATGATTTTATTTGTTTATTTGAGAGGTAGAGTTACAGCCAGAGAGAGGGAAAGACAGAGAGAAGGTCTTCCATTTGCTGGTTCACTCCCCAAATGGCCACAATGGCTGGAGCTGCGGTATCCGAAGCCAGGAGCCAGGAGTTTCTTATGGGTTTCCCACATGTATCCAGGGGCCCAAGGACTTGGGGCATCTTCTGCCTAACCAGGTCATGGCAGAGAGCTGGATCAGAAGAGGAGCTGCTGGGACTTGAACCAGTGCCCATATGGGCTGTGAGTGCCGTGGGCAGAGGCTTAGCCCACTATGCCACAGCGCTGGCCTCTAGCACTTCCTCTTGACTGCCTTGAGAATCTCTGACTCAGTCCTGGGGCCTGCACAGTGCCATCATCCAAAGGCTGCCTGCAGGCGTCCTCTCTGGAAACGGTCCCCAGAGCAGTGAGTGATGGGTGCCAGTGGAGAACCCCTGCCTCTAGAGGGCACTTGTGAGGCCTATTTTACGTAGTCCCTAGAGGGGCTGCAGCGGGACTGAGCCCTGGTTGCCTTGAGTGGTACCCAGCTCAGTCACTCCCCATTGCCAAGATGCTGTCTCCGGTTTTTCACTCTTCAATTCTCCTACTCCAGCTTCCCAGAACTCTTTCTCGAGCAGGCGTAGGAGTCCTGGTCGCAGGTTCTGCTTTTGGGCTAAGCTAAGCCAAGGCCATTGCTCTACTGTGCAGCTGTCTCTCGGTGCGCAAGGGGGATTGGTTCCAGGATCTCCCAAGCATACCAAAAGCCATGGGCACTCAAGGCCCTTACATAAGGTGATGTGGTATTTGCTTAGAACCT